GAGAGAGAGAGAGAGAGAAGTAACAATGATGAGAGAGAATCATGGATTGGCTGCCTCCTACACATCCCCCACTGGGGATCGAGCCTGCAACCCGGGCATGTGCCCTGACGAGGAATCAAACCCAGACCTCCTGAATCATAGGTGGACACTGAACCATGCCAGCTGGGCTGTAGCCAATCTTAATTGTGTCTTTCACAAATGTCCAGAAGTGAAACTGCCTGTAAAAAAGTCTATATATTTTTTGATTGACTTTAGAGACAGGGAGAGAGGGCGAGAGAGAAACATCAATTTGCTGTTTCACTGACTGATGCATTCATTGGTTGATTATTGTATGTGCCCTGAGCAGGGATTGAGGCCGCAACCTTGGCCTATTGGGAAGATGCTCTATCCACTTAGCGACCCTGCCAGAGTGAAAGTCTGTATATTTGAAGGCTTTCAGTAAATATTCCCCACGGACCCTCCGACTGAACAGCATGGGGGTCAAGTGTCTCCATTCTAGAATATGGCATCTCCCTCTCCAATATAGCGTCGCTCACCCCCAGGTGGTGGTTCAAGGCAGTGGGTCTCACCCTCATGACGCCCTCTATTGGTTTGCAGATCCCCTGGAAACATAGCCATGGCCCTTTTCGTCCACCGCAATTGCCAGGTAGTGAGTTTCGCCCTCAACACCCTTGGATGGATGTTCTCCATGATTTCCATGGGCCTGGCCAGGTGGCGATTGTGGTACATCTCTGCCCCCTCCCAGGGGCTGGCATGCATAGGGATGTGGAAGGTCTGCACTTACCAGTCCGCCAACCTCCACAGCAGAAAAATAGAGTGTCACCGCTACACCTACAGTGACACCTACCTACCGCTTGATATCCGCATCGCTCAGAACCTGCTGCTGGCTGCCAGCCTCCTCGGGCTCCTGGGGAAAGTGCTCATGGTCCCGGGTCTGCGGAGAGTGTACGCGGGACAGCTTCAGAAGGACACCACCTGCAATCTGTTCTTCACTTCCGGAGTCCTGAGCATCATAGCGGGTGCATTTATCCTCACTGCTGTGACCTGGAACTACCACTCCGTGTTCAATGAAGAGGGCGTACGCTTTCCGTCATCCTTCCACATCCCCTTCAGGCCGGACAGGCAGGAGACCGGAA